TCTTCAAAACCAGGGACCATTTAATTAAACAAAACGACTATATAAATTCACACAGAATTCTTAAAATATCCTTTTTATTTCAGGTCACATCAATGCTAGCGTTGATCGCAGTAATATTGGCAAGTGTATGGGGAGCTACGAAAGTCAAAGACGGTATAGACCTTACAGACATTGTGCCAGAGAACACAGACGAACATGAATTCCTTTACCGCCAGGAAAAATATTTCGGCTTCTACAGCATGTACGCAGTTACACAAGGAGACTTTGAATATCCCACCAATCAGAAACTACTTTACGAGTACCACGACCAGTTCGTTAGGATACCAAATATCATAAAGAACGATAATGGCGGCCTCACGAAATTCTGGCTGAGCCTCTTCCGAGACTGGCTACTGGATTTGCAAGCAGCTTATGACAAGGAAGTCGAGAGCGGATGCATAACGCAAGAGTACTGGTGTAAAAACGCAAGCGACGAGGGCATCTTAGCTTACAAACTTATGGTGCAGACTGGACATGTAGACAATCCCATCGACAAATCTCTAATTACAACTGACACGAAGAACGGTCATAGATTGGTAGATAAAGACGGTATTATTAATCCAAAAGCATTTTATAATTACCTATCAGCGTGGGCCACGAATGATGCTCTGGCATATGGCGCTTCACAAGGAAACTTGAAGCCACAGCCTAAGAGATGGACCCATTCGTCGGGAGACACAGAGCTTAAAATACCGAAGTCATCGCCACTGATCTACACACAGCTACCGTTCTACTTATCAGGTTTGACTGACACGGAGAGCATTAAAACCCTGATAATGTCTGTACGGGATCTGTGTTTAAAGTTCGAAGCGAAGGGATTGTCTAATTTCCCGTCTGGTATTCCTTTCCTGTTTTGGGAGCAGTATCTGTATTTAAGAACATCACTGCTCCTGGCCCTTGCTTGTGCTTTAGCTGCTGTTTTTGTGGTAAGTTTTCATATTCTGCCGACATCATTATTGATAAGGTTTATTATGGCCCTGATTTTAACCCTTTAATTTTTTTGTTCAGGCTGTAATGGTACTCCTGCTGAACTTCTGGGCCGCAGTCCTGGTTACATTGGCTCTCGCAACATTGGTGCTGCAGTTGTTGGGTGTAATGGCACTTCTGGGATTCAAGTTGTCTGCAGTGCCAGCTGTTTTACTAGTCCTTGCTATAGGCAGGGGCGTCCATTTTACTGTTCATTTGTGCCTGGTAAGTAAATTTTCTAATATTGTTTCGTTACTTTAAAATTTTCCATAGTTTAAGCAAAGCTAATAAACTAACTTAATTTACAGGCCTTTGTAACTTCAATTGGTTGCAAGCGAAGACGAGCATCGTTGGCTCTTGAGTCAGTGTTGGCTCCAGTAGTACATGGAACGATAGCTGCAGCTCTTGCAGCGTCCATGTTGGCCACCAGCGAGTTTGGGTTCGTGGCGAGACTGTTCTTAAGACTACTCCTAGCGCTGGTACTACTCGGCTTAATAGACGGATTGCTATTTTTCCCGATCGTACTAGCTATTTTGGGACCGAACGCTGAGGTAAGACATTTTTTTTCCCCGAATTGACTTTATAACTACCTTACCCATATATAACAATAATAGCGTAGCATATTTTTCATGAAATAATGTAATGCAATATTTAATTTTCCTTTTTCCTTCAGGTGCGACCACTAGAATACCCCGAAAGACTGTCGACGCCATCACCGAAGAGCTCCCCAGTGCATCCCCGTAAATCAAGTTCGAATTCTGGCGGTAGTGATAAGGGAAGTCGAGGAGGAAAGTCTGCGCCGCGACCATCGGCTCCTTCACTAACGACTATAACTGAGGAACCGCCCAGCTGGCACTCCTCGGCTCCCTCTGTACAGTCCTCTATGCAATCCATCGTCGTTCAACCCGAAGTGGTTGTAGAGACTACCACCTACAACGGCAGTGATTCAGCCTCAGGACGATCAACACCGACTTCGAAGACACCACATCCTGGCGCTATTACAACTAAGGTTAGTTTAACAATTTATTTTTATCTTGTAAATACATTTTGCCTCATTTAACTTACAACTTGGGACTTCATAATTTTCATTTTCAAAATAATTTCTAACCATTTTCCAAATCTTTACAGGTAACTGCGACAGCAAACATAAAAGTTGAAGTAGTGACACCGAGCGACAGGAAATCGAGAAGATCGTATCACTACTACGACCGACGCAGGGATCGCGACGACGACAGGGAGAGAGATCGAGACAGAGAAAGAGATCGTGATCGGGATAGAGATAGAGATAGAGAGCGAGACCGAGATAGGGATAGAGACAGGTCGAGGGAGCGAGATCGTAGGGATCGATTTAGAGACGAACGAGACCACCGAGCCTCACCTAGAGAAAACGGCCGCGACTCCGGCCACGAGAGTGACTCATCACGACATTGAAAACACACGCGCGCCCGCTGTGTGTCCTGTACAACGAGCCACATCGTGTCAACACGCTGTGAAGACTAGATATACTTGCATGAATGCAACTAATTATATACTGTATTTAATGATCTGAGCGATGAATCTGACATCTTTACCTGAGTTTATCTCTTATAAGCTGAGCAATCGTACGTAAAACATGTTTTAAGGTTGGCAATACCGCTTATAATCAGTACCTTAAGACAGTATTACGAGAATTGTAATTTTAAGTTAACTCTTCATATGGATATAGTGGAGGCTATATTGTAATTCGGTTCATGATGGAAGTGCTAATATCTAACGTCCAGGTTGTGTGTAGCTATTAGTAAATAGTGTGCGTGCAGGACGGTACTGAAATCATTCCATAGCACGGCACTGACGTCACTGTACTGCGGCCCAGTACAGGCACGATCCAGTGTTGCCAGCTAATGAATTCTTTACTGTATAAAAACCAAATATCATTGTAGACGTCATATCTATTACATTTGTTTGTGTGTTCCTATTTTAAAGACATTTCCATTTGTCTCCAAACTCTTTATTACATTTATACTTCTAAAGACTGTGGTCAAATATTATTAATTTATAATATTATTTATTTGTATGTCTATAATTATTCTGTCACCAGGAAAATCTGTGGAAAATCTCAGATGAATTGTACAAATTATTTAGGTAGTTGTAACTGTAGGTTAGACGGCTATTTATGAGATTACTTAGTTATGTGTTATACCTACACTGTATTGTTGTGATCTTTAGGTAAACTTAGTAACTGTGAAGACTGCATTTAAAGATCAAAACACAGTATTGTGTGAATATAGGGAGGCGAGGCGTCGGCCCGGCCCGAGCGCCGACACCCTCTCTGACCTCACGTCATGATCGGCGAGTTACGTTGTAACGTTTTGTGCAAAGTACTTAGTAGCATATATTAATTTATACGTACCTATATAACTTAATGATATTCTGTAAATATAGTCGTAGCAGTAGCAAGTAACTGTGCTCGTAGCTAGCGCCCCCGTGCGGCAGCTCTGTACATCTGTATCATTTATTTTTATACAATTTTAACTGACATATTGTCGAAAAACTGTAGGTTGTAGCTGAGATGAAAACGTTTATTAACTTGGTAGGTTTTTTAAATAAAATAACAAATTAAATTCGGTGAAATGTAATTATTTTGACAGTGTTCATTAATTATCGCGTAGCATTTATTTACACTGAGAATTTAGCTTATGTTTGTAAAGGCTGGATTTACGATTATTATCCAAAATTACAGAAGTTTAAGTCACATTTTTATATAAAAAAAATAAGTATAATATGTACGGCCAACCGCATATTACTGGTAACATTTCGGTATCAAAAGTGCCTTAACATATAATTGTACGAATATTTTCCACTAAATATCTACTAACGATGTGTGTTTGGCCGCACATGGTGTACATGAAAAAAGTACAATTTTTGTATTAGGAATCATCCTAAAATAATTAATTTTCAATGAAAAAATGGAAATTGTTTTATTATTTTACTCTTTTTAATTCAATTTGCCACAATGTGACAATAATTGTTATAATTACGAACAAGGTTAATGTCGACTGTAATGAGAAAATAAAAATACTTTTAAACTGTACAAGTCTGTAATTTATTTGACCTTCTTATCTAGTCTGTGAACCCTTGACGTTATGTAGATAGTGCAGATACCCTTCGGGTCGAGTCTAATAACAAAAATATTTGTTGGTTTGTAGTTTCACTTATTGTCCGTCATCGAAATTGTGTATATCACTTTACCACGAAAAACCCGCTTTCATATAAGCATTTACTGATAACGGCACGAAAAGGCTAAACACAAATCAGATTCCTAATTTTATAGATACAAACAAAAAATAAAGTAAGTTATTCGAAAAGAACTAAATAAATAACTTAAGTAGAAGTCATAACTTTAAAATAATTTTCGTAAACTCGATTAAAGTCATCATTGAAAGTAAATAACAAAAATCGTTTGATGTAACGAAAGCAATCCTCCGAGAGAACAGTGATCCGCTTAGCTCAAATTATAATAGTGGGAGGGTAAAATTTTGGCGGTAGCAACGCTTGCGACATTCCTTAGAAAGCGGGAGCGCGGGAATCAATAAAGGATTTCCTGGCGACTTGCCCACGCATGTGCGTGGCGGCCGGTGTCGCCACCGCCATAACCTCGCACCACCAGCGCTACCCTAGCCATCAGCCAGCCAAGTAACTCCACGCTGCAATTCTGTCATCAGCTCGCGTCTAATGACCTTCGACCCAAGCGACCGCGGCGCATACTACGCGGCCCTCGTGCTGCTGGACCGGATGTTTTCGTGGAGCGTGCAGCTCGGAGACGTTCGCAGCGGTCGCTGACCATCAACCCTATGTATGAGCAAATAAATCTCAGTAATAAGTAGTAGGCCGCTGCGTTATTGGGCGTATGATTCGCGCGCAGCGTCAGTGCGGGCGCGGGGTTGCGGGGTGGTTGCGCGGGGCAGGTGCGCGGGGGTCGCGGCGCGCGACTTGGCGCGCGACACGCTTGTCCTCGCCTGCGGCCCGCCCGCACGACACCGGCCCGGTCTCTAACCTGACTGACACTACCACTCGATGACTCATGAACATACGTACAGCCCTGTGTGAAACTGTCAGGAGAGTTTAGTGCGAACGGTGTGTAGCTCCATGTAAGAGCGATCAGTGCTGTGTCGGTTGTCGTGTGCCCTTGTCATGTGGGGAGTGCGATGGCGCTGATGGACAGCATGTGTCCGCGGAGGCCGCTGGGCCTGCTCGTCGCGCTGCTCGCAGCCGCTGCGCTCGCCAACCAGCTCGAGGACATCCCGCACAATGAGTAAGTACTCCACCTTACGTATCCCTGAAGCCTTTATGCTACAGATTACATCAGCACCATTTGCATGTACCTCCGTTAATTGTCTTACTGTAATATGTATTAAGATAACGATTTATCTTTATTATTGTTCCATTTTTGCCTATTCAGACGATAACTATATACAATCACCTTCGGTCAAGTAAACAAATTATATGCAATACCTACTACTCATCAGCTTTGCCCACTAGTTCACCATAGTTTACTAACACTTGATGTGCAATGGCATGTGAATCTTAACATAATACACATGTAAATTATTTTAATTTGTGATTAGATTTCTTAGTTTAAGATTGCATGACTTTCTGTTTAACATTTTTATCACTGTGTCAAAATTACATTGCGGTCGTGACCGCCGTATGGCTGATGTAGTACCTACGTAAGAAAAATGAGAAAAGCTACGTAGTATTGAGAAACCTATTCATCGTAAACCGAAGCCCACGCGCCGCATGTATCGTTATAGTATTTAATGAAGCGTAAAGCTGATTACTTTCGGCGACGAGCAGCTCACTCACCGACTACTTACATCAATTATCTCCTTGATATAAGGCAACAAGTCTATTTCCTCAAGTAGGTAAAGGATAGAACACACAATACACCTGTTTCTTCCATTTAAGATTAGTTGTCACAGCGAACAGGTTTTTATAAACTTTATCAGGGTATCCAAATTCCGTGATACTAATGCGAAGGTCCAAATTAAGAGTTGAACTGGAGCTGGCGAATTCAGAATTCGCGCCAGTATTGACTGCTCTTGTGAGGTATAGATGAGGTAACTAATCTTACCCCGTGAGCGGACTTATCTAATACTCAAGCTAGACTATTTTCTACATTACATGACGTTAATGTCTATCAGTTGACATAATAAGGACACTAAAGATATTTTATAATTACTAGAGTCCGGACTTAATACATCGCGACAGCCCCAAGATGTGCAAGCAAATTTCAACTTTAAAATTCAATTCTTGTTCACAACATTTACAATACAATGTTCTTCAAATTACTATTTACATAAAATGTTATACAATATCACTATTAGAATCTACATATTATTGCATTTTGGTTTCAAACCTAGTCCAACCGTGTAAGTTGACCTAACATCAGATCTAATTAATAGAATCGACCATGTCAAGTAATAGTATTTTTGACATATAGTTACTAACCCAACCCCGCCGAAACTGTCCCTTCCGAGATCCGAGCGTCAACCCTGAAACCACACGCTCACCAGTCGGACTTGTAACATTCGGTCAGCGAGGAAATCAAACTCGAGAATATAAAACTACTGAATATAATATTCATGGGAAACGTTGAAAATGACATGTAACCAGAGTTTCATACTTTCCCGTACATTAAATCTTATTATTTGCACCTGTTGCGATATTCCGCCATTTTTTCCTGTTTACGGTGAAATTTTTATGGAGCACGGAGTACGGCAGGTCGTTGTCGTATGACATAACTTACTAAGTTATTGGTGACAACAGTTTATGAGGCCACACCCTATATTTTTGCAATGAAGAAACTGAGTGACTGCCCTGATAATCCTCAGTACCACAGTCCTGATATTATTATTGGTGGTTGATTATAACTCACAGTCACTGCTTATTAAAGAGTTGCTTGGTTTTGATACCATGAGAGATCACATTGCCCCTTTACTGACTTCATTACTGAAATGGTTGATTTGAGATGCTCCCATCAATTGTTACAGTTACATTTTGCAAATCTGACTGCCCCACGTTGGGTGCCAGTTAAAAGTGAGCTCTATAAGCGTATTCTTTTTATTTCTACTCACTCAACTCATCCTTATAATACGTACATTAGAGACACGATCAGTTGTATTTCTAATGTATTTTACAATATATTTAAATAATCGAATAACAATTTGAAAAATTGGATATCATACCACGAATTTGTTCAACAGTAACCACTTTGTGTCTCGTCTGACTGACACTCGCTATTAAGACTTCAGAGTCACTACTCCCAGACTTATAGTGAGGCCTGTATTTGTGGCATGGCAACAGTGTTACCCCCATGCCACCTATTACATGACTACACGTGAGAGTATCAAGGTACTTACGCCTCCTTCCACCTTTGAGGAAAACAGCCGCGTTACCATGTCAGATTTAATTTAAATCGTGGTTTGATATTAAAGTCCATATTTTCTTTATAAAGTATTTTTAAATCAATAGGACGAAACATGTGTCTATCACTAGATTATCAGTTTACTCACTTTTTCTATCTCGAGAATCTCTCTCGCCCAGGGTGAGGCGAGAAGGAGTGTCTGACTCTTCCTCCAGGTCGAGGCCCTTTTTATCACGCTTGCCCGTGACCCCGGCTGAGTATTGGCCCTGTTGGGCCATATGTGTGGTGGTCTAATGGCTGTTTCAGGCTTGTCATACTTTATGCGCTTAGCAAGCGGTTTGGAGATAGTAGTTTCAAAGGTCCAAATTATCAGAGAGCTCTGCGATCTTTGTCAAATACATGACTACATATAGACTTTGGAGCATGTTCATCACTTAAAACTAACTTCAAATTAACTCTTTTAACACCAACCGGGACTGCAGCATTCTCTAGTTTAGTCAAAGCTTTCCAAACCTTTGACTAAGCTGTACTGAACCCAATCAATCTTAATAAAAGTATAAACATTTCAATACTAGTATTATTCTTTCACTAACTTATCATTTCAACCTCTGATTACGCTATTCCCATTCATTATTATTTATAATCGAATAACTATTAGATTTCACATAACTATACTTAAAGGCTTGAAAGTAGCAATTTATGGAAGCAAAATATTGATTTTCAATATTAATAATGTGTATTGTATTCTGTCTACTCGCGGCACTGTCATTATATGTCACTTTTGATGCTATAGTAATCATCCAATATGAGACCGGCTAATCGTTAAACAAGTATTAATAGTTGACTTCCTTGATTACTGTATGCTGCCAAGCCCAACTATTTAACAGGTCTCGTGTTGACCCACAGCAGTATCATCATCATCAGATCAGTCGGCTAACGCCCACTGCTGAACGTAGACCTCTCCCAATGCCTTCTAGTTCAGTCGCTAGGAAGCATCCTGTGTCCAGCAGCTCCCTACGATCTAGTTAACAAAATATTGTCGGGTTCCAAAGTTCCGAGGACTCCACATTTACAATCCAAAAAACTGACGATTAGACGAGAAGAAAGCTTTCATACGCCTAACTCAGACTGCTCACCTCTATAAGAAAATAACGAATTGAATATGTTCGTCTATCAAACATTCCCATAACTCTTTCTCTACCAACAAAACTCATTAATTAACCATTATAAATCAATTATGTTGTGCAATAGGTTATTAGTGCGATTCTCGTTAATAAAGCTTTACGTAAGTGAATGTTTTAGGTTAACGCATTCGAAACATTATCATGTTTATCTCTCTGATTGGTCGGTCAACTTTGAGCAGGCCAATCACAGCGCTGAACGTCATAGATGCGTCGATCGCGTTAAAGTAAAGTAAACTGACACTAGATATTCGAATAAGACAAACTTCAGTCATTTAAACGTAGATTTAGAAATGTTATAATCAAAAACTAAGTTCTTAATTCGTTTTCGTTGTTTTCACATGAAATTAATTTTCTCTTTGATATTTGATAGTAAATTGATAAAGCATTTTCATCTATAAAGTAAAAGTGATTTTATCATTAGTGTAATTTTGGTTTTCAATAAATACTTGGAATAATTGCGGCGCGCACGCCAACTGTAGCTACGTGGATATTACATCAAAGTTGTCTATGTACTTTAGCTACATGTTATTAATATAATATCAGCAATTTAATGTATATATCGTGTATTATGTATAACAATAATACATACGTTACTCAGACAGCACATGAAGCTTCACAACGCTTCATCCGATATGCTCCTGTTTGTGATGTTTTTTTTATAATCACGAGAAAGATTAGTTAGGATATGCATTAAACTTTACCATTAAAATAGAAAATATTTTGATAAGTTTATGAAATAACTTCCACACAGGAAGGACAAAAATGGAAACATAAACATGACACGTTATTCTTGTTTCTATTTAAATTGCCGTATGATTAAAAAAACAAATTCGGTCAAATTGAAAACTGCTTGAACAGAAGAACAACCAAATCTCATTTGTTGAAAGACTACTCATCGATTTAAAAATGTTGTTGTTATGTTGTTATAAATAGTGTTTATATTTATATACATAATTAAGAAAGTATTTGGACGATCTGCTTAATGTAAGAAAGTAAGGCAACGTGAGAACAAGGCCACGATTTGTTTCTTCCTCTAATTCCACTCCAATCTATTTTTATATCTTTATCCCAGTAAACAACATTAATAAAAACTCATAGGCAGACCAATTTAAACCAATTAAAATCATTTACGCCAATTTAGTGTTTCTATTTCCATAACGGACTGAGATAGGTACTTTGTAGAACAGAAAACAATGTTAACTAAAGTTACAAAGCGAGCGGTCATGTATGGATCCTGCAGGAGTGGCCACGATGCAGTGGTATGTAGGTATGTAGGGCAGGACGTGCCTCGCACCGTTAAGCAGCTTATTGACAGGCAATTACAGAAATATATTCCCCGGAGCCCGCGCCCGCTGTCGCTGCCGCGCCCGCTGCCGCTACTTAGATGAATTTCTGTAATGACATTTCGTTGTCACAGCTCCGCGATTTGCTAAACGAAAAAGTTCACAAGTGACAGTTGAAAGTTCCGAGATGGATCAATTCGTGATAAATGGTGGTAGAGGGCGGGCGCCGGGCGCTACCCTCCGGCCACTCATACAATGAAGCGGTTGTAAAAACTTTGAATTATTAACGAGGATTTCCGGTTAAAGTAATTACGAATCCGAGACACTGATTAAATGTATTGCGTTGTTTCATTAATGTTTGTTAGGTAACACAAGCGCGACGTACGCGGCGTTTTACAAATGCATTAATTGTAAGATTTTT